GTGTGTGTGTGTGTGTGTGTGTGTGTGTGTGTGTGTGTGTGTGTTTATTTACTCTTGTTGTGTTTGATCAGCAAACTGCACTTACTGTCGAGCCTGGCCGGCCTTTCGTCGATCACACACTGCTTTGTATACGAGTCTTCGATGGTGGGGTCATAGTCAGTGACAAAGTATGACTGAATGAGAGAAAACAGAGGGAAAACACTGTGAATATTCCAAGTCAGCATATTCATTAAAAAAAACACACTGAAACTATAAATGCTGTAAGTCTTAGATGGTTAATTTGCATTACTTTATACATTATAACCATTGTTTTTCATTTGAATCAATTATCTTCAGTGTGTTTCTGCCAACACAACCCCAGCTTTATTCACTTATCTAATAAAATCCTTTAAAAGCAACGATTTTAGGTCAAACATCAAAGGCTTTCTGTTGAAAACCAGCAAAAAAGTGAAAAAGACCTCAAAATTCCTTTTAAAGAACAATTTGGAAGTTATTTAAAAGGTCCCAATGTTCAGATCAGAAGASGTGGTTTTAAGGCCACTTCTGGTCCTTTTGAGTGTCAGAGCTGCTGTACAGTATTAGGTCACTTTTAAACTCATTTTAAGATAATCTGCACTGACTCCATCTGAGGGCAGCAAATGTCTTATACTTGACACCACACCCATTTTCGTGAATGCACTTCCTGTGACGGGGGGTGGCACCCCTTCACGAGCAGAGTTGATAAAACTATTTTTGCTAACTTTTACAGTTTGGTGTTCTATTTACCAGGAAAATAATCCTTATCTTACAGACCTTCATGGCTTGAATTGGTTGGTTTAAAAATAATTTTACTTTTAAAAAGAAATTAGTGACGTCTCTATGCTTGGAACGGCATTTATGAGAAGTCTTTAATAAATTGTAGCACAGCTAAGAATGTGCACAGATTCACATGAGGCTAAATCAGGAAATGACCCCTTTTTACCTCTCTTCATTGTTCTGTGTATTGTAAAGAAGCACACTTCTTAAAATTCTAAAATTGTCAAATTGAACCTGGTTCAGTTTAGGTTTATTTTTATCAGATGAGTACAGATGCAGCTAAGCTCTAAGCTTTTCATATTTCCTTATTTTACACATTGCATAACCGGTAACACAGCTTTACAACCACTTCAGTCTCTATAAACAGGCACTCAAAAATATTTGATAAAAAACAACTATTATCATTATAGTAATATTGTCAAGAAATACAACTTTTTCACTTTTGAGGATTTTATTTTTGTGGCTGTTTGGTGTATAAAATGTTTAAGACCCTTGCACCACCACCTCTTAAGTGTTTATAAAATCCTGCGATGAAGGAGGTCCACCAGAGCCTCTAGATGAGAAGATAATATCAACATTTAAAAAAAAAAAGATTTTCAGTTAGAGCAACGAGGAAGTCTTTACCCGTTACTGTTCAATAATGCTGTAGAACGTACCTCAAAGAGATACTTGAGTAAAAGTACAAGTATCTTACCATGAATTTACACTGGTAAAAGTCTTCTCTAAGACTATTACTTGAGCAAAAGTCTTAAAATTATCTGACATTTACTGTACTTAAGTATCAAAAGTACAAGTACTGAGTAAAAGTGAGTCATTAGAAGGTCTAAAATGACATTTATTGGGAGCTGACCTCCTTAAAAACATTTTTCTAAAGATCATAATGTTGTATTAAAACGTTAATGTTGAAGAATTCTGGATGCACTAGTCTACCTGTCTTAGTTGCATATACAGGGGTTAGACAATGAAACTGAAACACCTGGTTTTGGACCATAACATCCCTTTCAGACAGCTTCCTCTTGCGTCCACAGTTAATCCTGTTGGATGTGGTTCGTCCTTCTTGTGGTATGCTGACATTACCCTGGATACTGTGGCTCTTGATACATCACAAAGACTTGCTGTCTTGGTCACAGATGCACCAACAAGTTGTCCTCTTTTAAACTCTGGTATGTCACCCATAATGTTGTGTGSATTSCAATATTTTGAGCAAAACTGTGTTKTTACCCTGCAAATGAACCTTCACACTCTGCTCTTACTGGTGCAATGTGCAATTAATGAAGACTGACCATCAGGCTGATCAAATTTAGCTAAGAAACCWCCCACACTAAAATGACAGGTGTTTCAGTTTCACTGTCTAACCCCTGTATGTCTGTGCTACCATAACAACACTGTTARAGGTGCATTTGTGCATGAACTATTATAGGTTACTGCAGTTGACCATCTCTGTACAATAAATATATTATGCAATGACTCMGTTAAATAAA